AAAAATAGTGGAAATCAATCGCAAACACCCTTACTTATAATTAACACCTATATAACCGTAACCAGTTACTACAGTTGACATCAAAATCGCTTCTGTCCGAGATTTCATTGAAGGGAAGGAAAACAGGAAAGGGAAAGGAAAAGGTTTTCGAAGATGGGAGAAAGGAAAGTGCTTAACAAGTACTACCCCCCGGACTTCGACCCGTCGAAGCTGCCCAGGGCTAGACGGCCAAAGAACCAGCAAATAAAGGTGCGGATGATGTTGCCGATGAGCATCCGATGCAATACCTGTGGCAATTACATCTACAAGGGAACCAAGTTCAATTCCCGGAAAGAAGACGTTATCGGCGACGTACTCCCTTTGATCTGTTTCCTTTATGATCTTGCTTTACGGATTAGTAACCAGTCAATTTAGGGTTTTTAACTTTGTTTTTCTTACTTTCTGTCTCAAATTCCTTAAGTTTGATTTTTTTTCTTTTTTTTGCCCTAGCATATAATTAGAATTGAAGTTATGGTGTTATTGACCTATCTGTTTAATCAAGGGTATCAATTAAGATTTGAATTATGTATTTTGTTTATGGGACATACTGGTTGCTTAAGAAAAGGGTATGCAGATTTCTCTAATCACAATGAATTTCATAAAAAGTTCAGCATCTATGAGAACAGAATATGTTCTCATTTATTAGGTTTCAAAGGTTTTTCTTATGGACTTGTAATGGGATATAGGCTACTAAAATTTGATTATTTTGGTGTTGTGAATGTTCTAAATGTCTTATCTGTTCATGGACCAAGTAAATTTGGAAGCTATGATACAGTAGTCTTAACTACAGAATGAGCATTAGTTTGTTTGTCATGTTTGTTTTCCTGTTCCTCACATTATGTGATTTTTATGGATGAGTTTTGGAAATCAAGATCTGGGAATTGTGATTTGAATTTTTTAGTAAATTCAATTACTAATGCTAATACTTTAATCATTTGTAGACTTATCTAGGAATCCAAATATTCAGATTCTATTTCAAATGCACCAAATGCTCTGCTGAGATTACAATGAAGACTGATCCACAAAATTCAGATTATGTTGTTGAATCTGGTGCAACAAGAAATTTTGAACCCTGGCGTGCTGAGGATGAGGTGAGAACGCTGTCACTCTAGCTCAGTGTTATATATGTAGTTATTTTAGTGATGTTGAATATATAGTTATGTATTACTATGAAATATTCTGTTCTTCCTTTTTTCAGGAAGCAGATAAAGAGAAACAAAAAAGAGAAACTGAGGAAATGGGGGATGCAATGAAATCTTTAGAGAATAGAACCTTGGACTCCAAAAGAGAGATGGATATCCTTGCCGCACTTGATGAAATGAAGTCTATGAGGGTAAGGTGCTTTATCCTTTATCTTTGTGTGTGTTTTGTTCCTTTGTTTAGACATAGCGTTTCTTTACTTTTGATGCTAATACAAGTCCCCTGAATGCAGTCAAGACATGCTACTGTGAGTGTTGAGGCAATGCTTGAAGCCTTGCAGCATACTGCTGCAGAGAAGGTATGTTATTTCAAATTTTTATCTTTATTAATGAACCTGCATAAATTTGTAAAATTCTCATATTTTGTGCTTTCTTGTCTTGGATTTTTTAATTTTAATGTTTAAGTTTATTCTTACTTGCCAAAATGAAAAGAGTTGTATTTACTACCAGTCTGTTGAAGTCTATGTAACAACATTAATCAAGCTTTGTCAGGATAGCCATCTAACATTAGTTAGGCTGGTGTTTGGTGGCATGAAGTTGTCTTAAATTTTTTTTATCCACTGTTAGAATCCCTTGACAAGAACTATTCCTATGGTACATTTTTTGTTTTTATTGTTGAAGATATAGTTCATACGATTGAGAGAGATGTGCAACAGATGAGCGTGAGAGAGTAGAGGGGTTTGCTTGTTAGGCTGATATGATCAGTAGGTTGAAGAAAGGTAAATAGTGTCTGAAAAAGTAAGAAACTCTTGTAGCAAATATTAGTAGTTAGGACAAGTTAATGGCTGTTCAGAGAAAAATCTAAAACGAAGAGAAAAATGGGAATTAGGCTTCTGTGCTTAGGTAATCAAAATACACATAATCCCATAAATTCAAAGCTAATTAAATCAGGAATTACTACTGGGTATATATTTAAATCATATCTAACCTACCAGGATTAGAACTCCAAAATAAATAAATAGTAGTAAACTAATTGGTAGAGCTGGATAAGTATTAACCAACTTGGTCTCCAAGAAAATAAAACCTGAAATCCTGAAGACAATTATCTAAACCCCAACCATATTAATAAATAATTCAAGAAAGTCTTCTGAGTTGTATGATACAATACTGATTCTCTTGCTTCATTTGTTCATAACAGGAGAAGAAGTTAGAAGAAGAGGATGAAGCTCTTATAAAATCAATATTCCAGGTTAGCACTGCTGCCTTGCATGTTCATCTCTCATTCCAATTGCACTAGCTCTATCTTCAGGGATCAGGGATTGGATTCTAATTTTTGTAGTTTGGTTTTATTGTAGAGGCCAAAGGAAGTTGTTCGAAGAATTTCTGATGAGGTTTTTGATGATGATGGAGATTTGGCCCCCCTTTTATCTAGTGGTAATGGTGAAACATCAGGTGATAGTTTGAAGGTAATGTGATAGTTTAACTTCTATTAGTTACAACCTACATGCCATTTGAACTTGAAATGTTTAAATTTTGTAATGTCATGTGTTAGTGTTATATATGAATATGTGTGCTTTTGTCTGTATGCATGTGCATCCTTTGAATCAAACATTTTTGAAATGTTATTTCAGAGATTTGTTTGATTTTTACTTCAATAAAGGTGTTCGTGTTCAATTCTAGAGAAAGAAGCCACTGTATCCTGTGAGGGTTAAGGGGATTATTTCAGAGACCTTGCAATATCTTCTGATCATTGTTTATATTTCAAAAACATTGAGTAATATTTGACACAAGTTCATTCACTTGGATGTGAGGATGTTTGGAGATGCATGTGGTCAAAATTGTCAGTGGCTCTCATAAATGATATTTGATGAACTGCCACAGGACCACTTGTCAGTCTTAAGAATTTCTTCCTCTTTGAGTTGAGGAGGATAGAAAGGTGGTAGAGGCAGGGAAAGATAAATAGCATTGAGCTGGCTCTCTGAACTTTAAATTCATTTTTTATGTTGAGCTAACTTTCTAATTAAATACTAGGAAGTTCTTATGGGACACTTGTAGTTGTAGTTGTAGTTGGTAGAATAAGAGTTATCAAATGTAGTCACGTGCTGATTAATCCTTGTGATTGCATGTGCAGAGGAGAAAGGTTTCAGAAGGTAAACCTACAGATTCTTTAACGAAAGCTAGTGTTCTTGATGGCTCCAGCAGCCAAGGTATTTCCCTTCTCAACTTGTCTACTCTTTGTTTTGCTTCTAAGACACCAAGTAGACCTAATCATGGTCATAATGAGTCTTCACATAGCATTGTCGTAATCCTCAGTCCATTACAAATGTCAAATACCATTTCACAGAACCTGCCAAAGACGACATATATACTATTAAGTATGAATTCTAGGGTCTAGTACAAATCCTTGTTGATGCTGGATCATGAATGAACAACAATTTCTTATATTTCCTTAAATTTTTTCTTTATGTAAGATCAATAACATTATTTAACTTTCTGCCATTATAAGGCAAAGGAAATGACTGAAATTGGGGGAAAGTTGTCACTGGTTTGCATGCTGCACCTACAAGAGATGGTGGTGCCAGTTATGTTGTAGCTTGATATGCATTTTCTTCTTTTTAGTAAAAGAATAAAAGTATTTGCTAGCTGCAAATGAAATAAGTCATTTTGAAGTTTCAATCAATTTATTTTTATATATTGTACTTGCATAAAGATCATAACTTATTTTATTTTGCTTGTTCACAGACGGTCCGAATGGTTCAGGGACTCATAGTGATACTAAAGTGCCTTTCAGATCAGCAGTCAAGATTTCTGTCATCAAGAAACCAGTTGCATCTAACCTTCTAGCAAAATCAGCAGAGAACAAACAAAAGGAACAGAGAGTTGTTGATGATACAGGCACTGGACTACAATCACTTTGCCAAAATTATGGAAGTGATGACGATTAGCGAGTGTTCCAGTCTTTCTTCTTCTTCTTCTTCTTCTTCTTCTTTTTTAATTTAAATCTTGCATATTTTCCCATAATAATTTGTTAATGAAATCTGTCTATTGTATTTTTCTTTTTTCTTTTTTTCAATTTGTATTGGGAAATTAAATTCAATACCTGAGATCTAGAAGGAAAAATATGAAGGAATCTGAGACATGCAACGCAGTGGAAAATTAAAATTTCTCCGACTATTCCTAGGATCCAACTATGACTTCTATGCTGAAAGAGAAGTTTGAAGCACGCCATCTGGGGAACACGACCGCAACTGTTTCAACAATGTCGTCTCTTGATGATCGAATCACGAACAACTGCAAGTGCAGCTGTCTCCGGAGATGATATACACACACAAAGGAAACTTTTAGCACCTTAAAGGGCGATAAAGTTTGGGCACAAGAAGAGAGGCCGAAGAAGAGCAGCTAATGCTATAGCAGGAAAATATTTCCAGATTTCCTTTCTCACGGGTCTCGGCATGTTTGTGCGTTTTGTTTCGCAGCTGTTTTTCCACTGCTTTTCACCGGTTTCAAGTGTAGAATCCAAAGAGAAATATCCTGTCATTTCATCCAAATCCAGGAGCTTCCTCCTTCGAAACTTCTTTCCTTCATTTGAAGTCTACGTGTGAAACACATCAATCCCTGAAGAAAATTTCTTACCGTAAATTGATTTATTCTTGAATGAAGAAGGGGAGGTCAGTTTCGACACTTTGAATAATTTCAATTTTCTAAGCCTGCAAAAACCGGTGAGCAAAGGTGGGTACTTGTTCACAGCTAAGAACTTAAAGTGTTTAGGTAGTACCAAAGCTGTCTAGGCAGTTTTTTTCTAAATATTTTTTTTGATATTTTTTTTAAAAAAAGAAAAAATGTAAAATAATTTTAAAAATTAAAAAATAAAAACAAAAATTAAATATTTTTCTATTAATTTATAATATATGAAAAGCATAATTTTAGAGAATTATTGGGCATTGAATGTTTTTTTAATATATTTTTTTATAATAAATTAAATGATATCATTTTATTAGGTTAAAAAAACTATTTGTTTAGGTGTTTTAAATGCCATTAAGTGCCTCTAATAGCAACGTACTTAATTTATCTAGGTGATGCAAACTATATTAAACTTCTATTTCAAAGTCAATACAAGTTGAATGGTACAACCTAAGCATGCATTTTACAACCTTACAATTTTTTGCTCAGAAAAATCACTAAATTTTTTACTATAATTTTGGTATCATTAAAATCTTTATAGAAACTTAAGAAAAATCATTATAGGAACTAAAAATGGATCGATCCAACAACTCTATGTTCACTTTCTTATTTTCAAATCCAGCTATATACGGAAGGACAAAAATAGTTGGTCAATCAGTCGGAATACATGGAGCAGGAGTGGTGGTTGGTGCCTGCTATTTTGTGACGTTAATGATTCTCGTCGTGATCCTCTGAACAACTGCTATTCCATCCATGGAGTTTGCATATTGCAGCCTGTGGTGACAAAAGAACCTGGCTGGCTGGCTATCCGAATTTCTAACATACTAGCTTAGTTTGGCGAAAATAGTGCATTACCCTCTACTTCTAGTGATTATTATAATGAATCCCTACATTTTTTCTGAAATAAATTGTCATCATACTTTCAAGTTGGAAGAAATTAACCTTTCAACATTTTTTTTTATCATTGAAAGCCCTCCTACATTTTGGTTGAAATAAATTAGTCAAAATTTTATAGATGGCATAATCTTATATTGTGAATAAATACCTTGTACTTTATATTTATCTAACAAATATTCAATATATGTGTATCAAGTTAATTTGGATTCTAAATGCTTTAGATATAATAATCTTGAGTAATGTTACATGGACTGATTGGTCCCCAAGATGATTGGTCTCTATAGCTATTTTGTTTTCTCTTTTAGATATAATAACTTTAAATTTTTAATTTTAAGTCTTGTAATTTTAATTTTTAAGTTATTAAATCTTAAATTTAAATATTAAATTATAAAAACTATTAATATAAACCCTAACTTTAAAATTTTAAACCCTAATATTTTAATTCTAAACCCTAACATGTAGCTTAAATTCTAAATTTTAAAAAATTTAAACCCTAACACCCTAAATGCTAGTGAACTCTAAAAAATCTAAATCCTTGCATTCTGAGTATTGAAATTTAAAATAATCTAAAATCCTAAACACCAAAAACTAATTTTTAATTTAAGTTTTAAAATTACAAGATAGTTCAAAAACTTGAGGGACTAAAACAGTTTAAATTGCTAAAATAAGGGATCAGTTTGTAGTTTAACCATAACAAAGGACAAAGAATTGAGCAGAGGTGGGCTGCCACGCACTGTTCGGCCTCAATTGGTCTAGAAAATCGTCGGCCTCAATTGGTCTAGAAAATCGTCGGCCTCCTACTATTTATTCTAATAATCTTATGGAAAAAGTGTATATCAATTTTAACTTATAAAAATAATTAAAAATTTTAATTTTAAATTATTTTATTTTATTTAATTAAAATTTAATTTAAAATTTAAAAAAAATCTTATTAAATGTCGATGTATTAGAATATATAATAAGTTTTTAAATTTAAATATCGACATTTAATAAGATGAGATTTTAGTTTTCAGATATAGAATATGACTTCAGTTATATTTAAGAATCGAGATTGATATACACACTAACTTCTAATCTTATATCATTTATTGTTTGAAGATAACATATATATGTATATATATTTGGTGCTAAGCTCCTTAATTTGGTATTGGGTCTGATTAATCCAAAATCGAGCCATGTCGGATCCTATTTGGGGAAAAACTCTTTCAGCGCTTATTTCTCTATTTACAATATTCGAATTCAAGATTTTGCTTAATGAAACTGAATTTCTTCCACTTGAACCAACAGATCGTTGGTGAAAATATCACATATATATATATAATAGACATTTACTTTCATATAAATCTTTCATATTATATTTATATAAAATCTCAACTATTTATTTGTTTACTTTCAATAATTGAGATTTATTTATATTTATTAAAGATAATTATTTTTTATTTAAAAAGTCTTGATAAATCTCAAGTATTGATAATTGAAAAATGAATTATCAAAATTTTATATAAATGTAATGTTTAAGAGTTGTATGTAAGTAAATCTCTTCTCATATATATATATATATGTACACTTTTTTTTATATTAATCTCTCAATATCCGATAACCACATTAAATCTCAATTAATCCATAATCAAGTTGCGTCGGATCCCTAAGAAGAAGCCCTCCCAGCGCTTGTTTTTTAATTTATAAGATTCAAACTCGAGATCTTATTTAAGAGAAACTAAATTTCTTTAAGTTGAATTCAAAGATTTGTTGGTATATATGTATGTGCAGGGCATAGTGTAAGATACATCATTCTCTTAAAAATTTTTTTTGAAAGATTTATCTAAAAACTCATTTTAATTAATATTTTTAAAAACTATCCATTAAATTAAAAATTTTATTAATATAAATCATACACATTAATTTTTATATTAATTTAACATTTATAGCTCTTTAATAGTCTATTTAATAGTCTATTCTAAAGACTTTGATAGTCTATTCCCAAAGTTTGAATCATTAATTTTGATATCACCCGTGGGAAAAATTCCCAACTTCAAACTTTAGTATTGGTTGTTAGGATTGGACTTACCAAAGAATATATAAGTGAATAATGATAAAGCAAATCACATAATAAGATAAGAGATTCAAAAATCAAAAAAAGAATTACAATATTTGAAGCTACACTCACACTTAATATCTCTAAAAAAACTTCGTCAAAATACTCTTTTCATCCAAGGGCTATGAATGGTTTAAAAGGGACTTGATTGTTTTTTACCTAGGGTTATCATTTTTTTGGCAATGAAAATCTAGGAATAAATCCTACTTTGTTCATATGTCATAAAAAAGTAAATACATATAATATGCATTTGATGTAAATTTGAAGTGCTAATAAAAATTAAATTATGTTACATTGATAGGCATGCCAACTGCTTGTTCCTGGTCCAATATATTTATCTTGGCTATGCAAGAACATTAAGCAAAAAGCTCTTTACCCTTCCCTCCTAAAGTTAGCTTGGCGTGCAACAATGTATCATATTTGGAAAGTAAGGAGTAATTGATTACATAAAGGGTACTTTTCGATCTAGTGATGCCCTTTTAAGTTACATTTGTGCAGATGTTCGAGATAGTTTACTAGGGTTTGCTAAGATGAAGGCCTCTCTAATGTCATGAAGTTTTGCCTTAATCCGAGGTTTAAAGATACTTTGTATAGGAGAAACTCTTGGTAGAGCAAATGGTTGTTCTCTACGCAAAACTTTTCATTAGACTTGAGTTCAACTTCTCTTTCTCAAAAACCCCTTAACATCTAACCCCCCCCCTCGCCCCCCTTTTTTTTTTAAAAAAAAAAATTATGTACAGGAAGAGGTTGACTCCAAAATGGCACAATACTACAATTACCATACTACATAAATTTATAAATTTATACTCGTGAGTGGGTTGATGAGTTAACAAGAAATTTTTTTAATTTGATCACAGGGCTTAATTTCAAGCCCTAAGAATGTAGTTCCGATAAAACTCGTAAGGAAGAGTTTTGCAACCCATTGAGTTATGGCTGACTCAAATCTAGATTAGTTGTTAATCTAGTGAGTTTTCAGATATCAATGGTTCATATAAAAAAAATTATAAATTTATAATTATAATATGACATTAAATGAGTATAATACATTATTAAATGAATAAATCTATATAATATCATAAATAAACCCTGAGTAAAAATAAGCAATTATATTTTTAATATATAGAAACTAAGAATTCAATTATATTTTTAGTAAGTTAGAAACTATAAATTGTTCCTAATTCTATAATTCAAAATACATACAATTTTATTATTAAATTACATAATTAATAATAAAAAAATTAATTATATAATCACTTACCATATTATAATTATATCATTTTCAGTATAAAAAAACTTCCCAATAAATTATTGTTCCTTCCACATATATATTCTTTTTCTCTTATAAAAAATTCATATAAAAATTGAAATAAGGAACAAAAGAAGATAAAGCACTGCCAAACCAAACGCAAACCGAACTGCTGTTCCTTCTCCTCCTCTTTCTTTGATCCTTCATTCCGTTTCTTCCAAAACCCTAAAATTCTCTCAAAGTCATATCAGAATTTTCTTATATATGCGTTGATCTCCTTTCCATTCTCAGGCAGACTTCCCATATGAGTATTCATGTCTAGGCAGCATTCTTCCCCATCCCTTATTTTCTGCCAAACCCATCACTTTCTTCCTAAAAAATAAAGGGTGTATCCAAAGGAGCTACATTTGATTTAAATTTTTTTCTTTGATCAATTGTTTTTTTTGGGTATAATTTTGTGGGTTGGGTTTTGATTCTATGGCTGCGGTGGTGGAGAAGTGCACTGAGGCTACAATTCCCAACAACAGCACTGTCAACAGTGTGGACAACAAGGATAACATTGACAGCAATGGGAACATCAAGAGTTCAGAGCCGAAACCGGAATTCAAGGAATTTAATGTGCAAAAGCTGGTGGATATGTTCACAAAGTTGAATCCTTTGGCCAAGGAGTTTTTCCCTTCATCTTATCATAATCAGATCAAGAAAAATCATTTTTCGGTGAACAATTTTGCGGTGGTGAAGCAACCCGGCAATGACAATGCTAATTTCCATGCTAACCCGAGGGTGATTATTACTGATCCTTCATTTAAATTTTTGTTACTGAATTATGGATGCAGCTTTATTTTGGTAATCTGTGTTATCTATATTTCGCCTTCCAATCTATATTTTGTGTATTTGTATTGCATTATTTTTATTTTGGAGTTTGATTTTAATTTGTCAATGATGATGGAGGTTTTGGGTTTTAGAGTCTCTGGAATGTTCTTTTTCAATCTATTTTTGTAATTCTATCGGGAATTTTTTGTTCTTTACCTAACTGATATATGTGTTCTGAATTGGTGCTGGTTGGCCTTTTGGGTTTTGGCTAATAAACTTCTGGGTCTTGTTTGGTTTCTTGTGTTTGTTATTCTACCTGCTTTAATCCAACTATCCCAGCATGTTTCCAGTTAGATCACTTTTCTTAATTATATTAGCTCAATGTTTATCTTCTTCTTCTTCTTCTTCCATTTTTTTTCAGAGAAGAAATAACCAGGGAAGAAGGAGACTGAATGGTGGAGCATTCAGAGCTCAAAGAGAAGATAGTATTAGGCGAACAGTTTATGTATCTGATGTTGATCAAACTGTAAGTTAAAATGATAGAACCATTTACCATGTTTATATGTCAGCTGTATTGACATTGGCTAGTTGTTTTCTAATATTATTAGAGAAATTATTGTAATGTTTTTTCTTTCTCTTGTTAGATTACGGAAGAGCAGCTTGCTGGCTTATTTAGTAGCTGCGGAGAAGTAAGTTCCAGTATTCTCTTACATATTTGTACAGGATAGGCTTGATAATGCTCCCCCTTTTCTGCCCGAACAGAGATGCATATGTTTGGATTTACAGATGAGCACATATACATCTTCATACTTTTATGCCTTTCAAAAGCTTGTTTGTAAAAAGCTTACAATTGTATCTTTTTCCAATCTTCACAAGAATGTCCAATTTGAGGGTTTAAGAATTCACTGGAGATTGATGCTTGCCTTATTTCATGATGCATAAAGTACATAAAGTGCTTTTCATTGGTTGCTTTCCCTTTTTACTTGAAACATCACCCCTCCACACCCCTGGAAAGGAAGTCTCTTTGGGTTTTGGTAGATAATATGACAGTTGATGAGATTGCTTTTACTATGCGTATCTGTGTTTGGTTACATGGTTATTATGGCGACACTGAAGTTGCTTTCAAACTTCTATATTTGAAGGTTGTTGATTGCCGTGTTTGTGGTGATCCACATTCAGTCCTTCGCTTTGCATTTGTTGAATTTGCCAGTGAGGGTAAGAAATTGATGTGGACTGATTCAGAAATTTCCTTGAATATTTTAATGAACTTCTTTCAAATGTTGCATTTTACATTTTCTGTTACTGCAGAAGGTGCAAGAGCTGCTTTAAACCTTGGTGGGACCATGTTAGGATTCTATCCAGTTAGGGTCTTGCCTTCAAAAACTGCCATACTTCCTGTGAATCCAACATATCTCCCTAGGGTATAAATAAATTTCTGGATTCTTTATAGTTGTCTCAGAATCTTTGCATTATGATTTGCTGCATATTTATCCCATCATTCTGGTTAAGTTTTTGTTTTGTTTGGTTGTCATGCTAGTAAAGATTTATATCTGGGAAGGATCAGCTCATGCTTTTCTTTTCTAGCTTCTTCTGATGATAATTAATTATCAATTGCAGTCAGAGGATGAAAGGGAAATGTGTAGTAGGACAGTATATTGTACAAATATTGACAAGAAGGTAAACCTCATGATCTCCGTTTTATGAATGTTTGGATTATTTTTCTCTGTTTCATCTGCACAGTACTTTTCCCTTCTGTTGATGTCCATTTACTATTAAATTTTGCTCTTTCTTGATCTATTTGTAATTACTCTTGTGGTATATCTGATGATTACCAAAACTCTCTGAGTTTTGTTAATTACAAAGAGAAGATAGTATTATGCAAACAGTTTTGGTAATTACAAAAGTGCTTTTCATTTGAATGTACTTCCCCTTTCCCAATTCCCTTGACTTCTGTCCCAAGGTTTGAACTCGAGACTTCCAATGTGGGGGCTCAAGCTCTTAACTATTGGGACATCCCCTAGGGACTCTGCTCATAATTACTTATTCCACCTAACCACAGGTTTCTCAAGCTGAAGTGAGGAACTTCTTTGAATCAATATGCGGTGAGGTTAGTAAAGAATTAAATAAAGTTTTTTCAGAACTTCTTTTATTAATTTGAAGATAACAAATGTTTGCATGCATCTCTTTTAATTGTTGAAATTGATCAATTGATTCACAGGTTACTCGCTTGAGGCTTTTGGGTGACCATGTGCATTCGACTCGCATTGCCTTTGTTGAATTTGCAATGGTGAGTTTGTGTTTAAAATTAGGGCTCTTGATTTTGTGCATTATATAATGATGCCATGATAACTAGAGCTGGAATTTTTTCCACCTAAAGACCCTTCTGGATTGGGTCATTTCAATGCTTAGCTTCAGTCACTGATGAATAATGAGTCAGATTTTGGGTCCTTAAAAATCTCAGCTTGAAAGCTTGTGAACTAAGCTTGTCTAATGTTCTATGTCAAATAACATATATAAAGTAGAGTTAATTTTCAGTTAGCATCAATCTGTCTGAAAAGGGTAATTGAGGTTCAAGTGTCCTTGAGTGAGATCTGGTCAATTTCTTGTTGCAGTTTAATTTCATTTAGTACATTTAGAAGAAAATAAAGAGAAAATCGAAACACTTAGAAGCTATCTTGTGATATGTTTTTAGATTAAAAAAAGACTCAAAATCTTCTTTGTAGAAAATTCAAATTTCAAGAGAAAGAAAATCATGAGTTGCATGCAGCATACTTTTAGATCTAATTGAATCAAAATCATATTTAGATAGATTATCTGACTTAAATTAAAGGTAAACTTTTATGACATAATAGTTTGATAATAGAGATGACACATGTTTAAGGGTCATCATCAGTTATTTTTTCACGTCAAACTTGTGACATAGTTCAAATTTGAATTCTGTGACAGCCTTTATATGTGTGCGGTTATTGCTGCATCCTAAACTGTTAATGGCATGCTAAAATGTTGCACTTTCAATTTTATGTCCCTTTAATTAATGGATTTTGTATTTTGATGTAATAAATTCTTTGTTCAATTGATCATTATCTTTCACTTATTATTTTGTTAAAATTAATGTTTTGATCCCTAGAACTACCTCAATTTCTGTCTTACTTAATCCTCTGCAGTCCTACCTAGCACAAGATTGCTACAATCTTGGGTTTTTTCATTTTAGGGGTGGTGTCAGATTTGCACTAAACTATCTACTACGTCATAACTTGCATAATCATATTTCTCCCCTTTTTTTGCACATTTTCTTTAGGTTCTATTATTGATTAACAGGAAGAATTTTGCTGGGAATGTTAGTCATATGTTTAGAGCATTTTGGATGAAATGAAGAGATGCTATAGAAAATACTACATGTCCCTAACATGCCTACCAAAATTGAGAGGAAATTTTTATATGGTATGTGTGAGGGCAAATATCCTTCATGGCACAGAATGTTTCAAAGTAGACTGCATACCAAGAAGATGAATGTGGTAGAATTGAGGTGCTAAGTTTTGCTATACTTGTTTTATCTTAAAGGGATTATTTGTCTGGGGGCAATTCTAAGTGAAAAAAAAAGGTATTCGACATTTAGTTTATTTTTGGCGTCTGAATAACAATTTGGGTGGAGAGCCAGAGCCTTTTTTGCCCCATCACTAAACAGTTATTTTGCCCGAGTAATGCTATTCTTGGTTGCAATAGCTATTCATTGGATTAGACAATTTTGCTTCTAATGTTTTCAAAATCACAACCATGACTTGGTCCTAGGAAAGAAGGTATATCACGAATGTCCATATTTGGTTTGCAAAGCACTGCATATGGTTGCATCTGGTTGTTGACGACCAAATATAATGCATCATAGAAAAGAATTGACTACAGAAGCATAGTGTCTGCTAAGAAGTATAATTTACTTAAAATTGCCCTTTACCTTCTATGAAATAGCTGTTCACTTTTGTTTATCTTTTTAATAGTTTGCCGCTAATCATTATAAGTAATTGACTATTTAGCAAATTCCTTAGGAAGGCAACCTTGAGCCTCAATTAATTCTGCCAAACACGGGCAAGCTGACACAGAGCACTTTTCCAACTTCCAAGCACATCCTTCTAGTAACCAAGGTCATCATTTGATTTGATAAGAGTGATGATGGAAAGATAATAACCTGATAAATTGTATTTGGACAATTTGATTGTGGAAAATGGTTATTGCCACAAATGAAATTGTTTAGTCAACTACAGAGAAGCTGCAAATCTGGTAAATTTACGGTTTCACCTGATTCACAGCTTCTTTAATGACCTAAACAATTTCATTTGTGCAATAACCATTCCCTTTGATCGTGTGGCATTATCTTTAAAGTCAGATGGAAAGTCAAATTTTATATAGCTTGGCACCCACATATGGAAATGATTCAACTTTCATGCTTTTTGAGTCTCTGTGAAACAAAAAAAGAATCCTATGTTCTTTATAGTTAAAGTATTATTTGGCTTTAAAATTTCATGCTAAATCAGTATTGTTGTAGTTATTGTAAAGTAGAATTAAAAAGTTTCTGTTTGATTTGTGTCTTTATTCAAATAATGTATTCCTTAAACAATCTACTCAACCAAATCAAGCGAAAGGGTTGTAATTTTCTTTCCTTGCAATGTAGTTCTTTTTTCATTTCCTTCAGAATTTGTGTACCACTCAGATGCATTTATTATTCAAACATTTCATATGGGGACATTTTGGCTGCTGACTATTCTGGTGCATCCTAGTTTTGCCTAGTTCACTACTTAAATATCTGTTCATTTAGCTCACAGCAATTCTGTTACATGATCAAATTCAGCGCTTTATCAGCTGATTACTGGTCTAATTTCACCTTATGCTTTCATTAGGATATTGAAAATTTCTTCTTCTTGGACTGATTCTTTTCCCCCTTCCCATGAACAGGCAGAAAGTGCCATTACTGCACTAAATTGTAGTGGAATGGTGCTGGGAAGCCAACCAATAAGGTACTTTCCTGAACTGCTTTTTATAAAAAATGTGCTGCTTCTGGAAGACCTTTGTCAAAAGGAAATCTTGATTTCTATTAATTCTTCCATTTTTTTTAGGGTAAGCCCTTCAAAGACACCTGTGAGGCCACAAGTTGTTCGCCCAACTGTGTATTAAGTAGGTGGTGGAGTCCTTAAAGATCCATCCATGGAAATGGGCGACTTGCCTGTTGAGAGAAGAGAAAACATTGTTGTGTTGAAGGGGTGTAGAATAGTAGTTCATTATTTCCATCTTTTCTGCCGCAACATAACCATTTTGTTTTGTTTTCATGACTGGAAAAATCTTCCCTTGCCCTAGATTAAATTGAATTTTCTCCCTTCTCTATCATTTTGATTCGTCAATATCATTTCTGACTAGTTTAGCTTGATGTTGTGTGGGGATGCCAAATGTTTTAGAAAAGTCTAAGAAATCAAGATATATGGTACTCTTTGGAAGAAAGGTAGCACTCATCATTAGTTACGTGGTCCGGTAATAGAGTTATTTGTATTCTCATGCTTTTGGCTAGATGACACTTAAAAGAAATCCACTGCTTGGTTTCAATTTGACCGGAATGATTTTCTTTTAGGGAATGTTTGGTTTAAGAGAAATGAAGGAAAATGAAAGGGAGGATGAATTTTGTTTTACTAATATGATTGTTTTAT